ACAGGCCACACCCAACAGCAGAAACACATTAGGATTGGCTACATTAGGGGTGTGTGGCCTAACATGCAAAGGAGTTCCTGCTACAAAAAAAGGCCCTGGGTTTTGACCACAAACAAGGTAAACAGAATAAGAAGCAAAAGGTGGGTGTGGCTGGATGACCACACTTCTGGTAACATGGGGGTGTGGCCTAATGTGCTAATGAGCGGTGCTGTCAGGGGTGTGGCCCAATATGCTAATGAGTTCCTGCTGGGCTTCTTCTACAAAAAGAGCCCTGCCTGAATGTATTTACAACTTACAATGGCTGAAGTAGAGAAATCAGAGTTGAATTTTTGACAGTTCAGTTGCTCAGAAAATCTAAAAAGGCACACAATCTCATCCATCTGGTAAAGCTACCCTTCAAATGATCCCCTCCCCTCCAGCGTCTCAGCAGTATTGCCGAATTCAGCCCTCCTAAGTTACATTCCGGTTTCTGTAGAAATCTACCTAAGAAGACTCGTCAAAGGCAGAGATGATAGAATGGGAGGGAAGGTATTTGCGAACTCGGCCCTTTTCATTTTCACAGCATCGGTCCTCCAAAGGAACCAGGGAACCCGCAGGCGTTTCGCGATAAAAATAAAGATACGACTGGCACAATGAAAGCTCAGACACAAGGTCTTTCACAGCTGAACGTTCAAAGTAGTCAGAGGAATTTGTTGAGGGCTAAGTCCGTGCTTCCAACGAGATCCAGCTGATGGCCAACCTGTCCCACCAGTATGGGCCTCTTTTAGGGATGCAAAACTGTAGGTCACAGTGCACTAAAACAAAGTGAGAAAGCAGGGGAAGGGGGCACCTGAGACGGTAGATTTGGGACGCTCTAAGGATGGCAGGATTGGGTTAGCCCCATCGTGTCAGATCTTGGAAGCTAAGCAGGGTGTTTGGTGTAGTTTAGTGTCGTGGTTAAGTGCGTGGACTCTAATCTGGGAGAACCAGGCTTGGTTCCCCACTCCTCCACTTGTAGCTGCTGGATGACCTTGGGCAAGCCATAGTTCTGTCAGAGCTGTTCTCTCAAGGGCAGTTCTCGGGAGAGCTCTCTCAGCCCCACCTACCTCACAGGCAGTGTTCCCTCTAAGCTGAGTTGGTGTGAGCTAGTGCACAGTTTTTTAGCCTCTGGCTCACACATTTTTGTCTTAGCTCAGGAAGGAGGGCTCCAGAGCAAACTGATTTATGCAGTAGCCAAATCGCTCACTCGCAACTTTAATGCCAGGAGCTCACAAAGTAGAATTTTTGCTCACAAGACTCCACAGCTTAGAGGGAGCAACAGGGTGTCTGTGGTGGGGAGGGGAAGGGAAAGGAGATTGTAAGCCGCTCTGAGACTCCGAGTGAAGGGTAGGATACAAATCCAATCTCCTCCTCCTCCTCGGATGGGGGACCACCAAGGAAGTCCAGGGTGGCTACGCTTTGAACAGGAGAAAGACTCAGTGCATGCATAAAGATAACAACGCACACAGACTGTAAGAGCATTCATTGTCACCCATGTGTGAGCTGATGCTGTCTGTTTTCGTCCTGCGGCCTTCCAGTAACTTCAGAGGCTCTCTGTTTCAAGAGATTCACGAAAGCCCTCATGGTGTGGTGGTTAGAATGCTGGGCTAGGATCTGCGGCCAGTCACACTCGGCCTAACCTACCTCACAGGGTTGTTGTGAGGATAAAAACGGAGGAGAGGAGAACTTGCCTTAGGTCCCCATTGGGGAGGAAGGCAGAGTATAAATGAAGCAAGCCAGTAAATAAACAAGCCCAGCACTGGAGCGAGAACTTCAGGGGTCTGGCTCCAGCTCAGGTCCCCAAAAGGTCAGAGTTTGAGTCCGCCCTCTGCCACTGTTCCTTATTTAAGGAAATTCTAGACCGCAACACGAAGGTGAGAGGCACAGGTTCTGATGGAACTTCTGACAGAAGGAGGAGGAGGAGGAGATTGGATTTATATCCCACCCTTCACCCCAAGTCTCAGAGCTGCTTACAATCTCCTTCCCTGGGGGAACTCTTTCGAGAACTGCTCTTTCGAGAACAGCTCTGAGAGAACTGTGGCTTGCCCAAGGTCACCCAGCAGCTGCATGTGGAGGAGTGGGGACTCAAACCCAGTTCTCCCACATTCCTAACCACTACACCCTCT